GGGTGAGAGGAAGGAGCTGCATGGCCAGAAGCAAAGCCCTACACAGACAGACGAGTTCTGGGTAGCACAACTGCAACCCCAGCGCCAGTTCCTCCCCTTACAAAAACCCGGACAAGTTACTTACGTGTCTCAAGTCCATTTTATCATTTTCATATCAATAAGCTAAGACAACAGCTCGAGACTGACGCACGCAGCGAGCCACGCTCTCCAGCAAGACCTTCCCTTTCGTCTCATTTTTCTTGACCTCACACTAAAACCTGCAAGCGCACCAACTGCTGCAGGGACATTATCCACTACAAGCAAACACCGCTGTAAGACAAAGCAAAAATCAGGCACCTATATAAAAGAAAACTAATAATAAATTTAATAATTAACAGATTAAGAGAAGTTTTTTCAAAAACTAACGAGATGTTTCTGAACCTGCCAGTTCTGGTTAGCAAAAGGGATCAGGTGGGAGAAGACAGGCAAAGGGAGAAGAAAACTGCACCAGGTAGCAACCATCAGTCAGTGACAGTTACTGTTCTGCCCGCAAGGTAACTTTAGTTCCTCTGCAAATACAAAATCGGGTATCGTAACCCAGCGAGAAGCTTGGAAGTTGCTTTCCAAAAATTTAAGTTCAGCCGCGTTCATCAGATCAACACAGCCAGATGCAGATGGAGAACAGTGGCGGCGAGCAGGTACCTCTCGCCAGCTGAATACAAGGAGCCAGGCAATCCGACTGCAGCTATTAGGCTAAGCCAACTCCACACAAACTGCTGCAAAACAAAGTAAGTTATAAATAACGGAGGGTGCCCACTGAACATAGACAACACTTAACAGTTATGTTAGACCACGTTGCAGATTCCCATTCAGTTTAACTAAAGGCTACTACCACACTGGTCAGACCTAAAATAAATGCTTACCAAAAAAAAAAAATAAGACTACAATCGTTCATGACACACACTTACATGAGAGAGAGTTTCCTTGCCGTCTCCAAAGTTACAGTGACTCAGGACTCCTACTCAGCTGCTCGGGAGCACCCAAATAACCTGTTCAGACAGAGCAGCCCAGTGCCAGGAGCGGTGAGCAGAGCCCCAGCAGTCGGAGCCGAGGGGCCCCAGCAAGCGAATGGAGGCAGCGCAGGACTCCCAGAGCCAGCACCTGGAGAAGGCTACGGGGAGAACCGGGAGCAGCCCCCCAGGAGCAGCACGGAGGGCATCAGGAACCACGGAGCAGCTGATGCTGAAACGGCCTCTGGGCCGCCTTTGCTGTCCTCTTCTAAACCTTTAATTCCACCGTTTTCAACATTCGGTGACCAGAAGCGTAACAGAGTACTCGAGATATGAGCAGCCTATGGATTTATGCGGTGGTAAAACAGAAATTTAATGAATTCATGTGTTTCGGTGTTTCATTTGCTCTGCACTAAGACTTTCCTAGTGCCGCTGCTCTGGTTTGCGCACTCGGCACGAACTCACTCTTCCGGCTCTGCAAGGTTTCAAGTCGTGACAATCCAGCGTTTACAGAGCGCCGGAAGCTGCATCTAAATAAAGTAACACGTACCTTACGTGAAACCTTAGGAAATGTACGCTTAGTTAATTCTAGTAGCCTAAGCAAGTTCCACAACAACTGGGTAAGAGAAAACATCCACCAAGGTTAGTGTCCTGTTCGAGAGCCTGGTTTGGATCGAGCTAGGCATGGGAGGACAATGGTACCAGAAACAAGCCATTTAATTACTTTAATTCCAGCAGCCACAAATGATGATGTGGCTAGTGTTACATTTTTTCCCCGCTCCTCTTTCCCACACGTCCAGTCACTGGTGTCAATCCTCCCACCCCCAGACTGAGGCTGTCACCTCGAGGCCTCTCCTTTCCCGAAGGATCTTCCCTAAGCGCCCTCCTCCTCACCCACTCACTAAACAACCCATCACAGACTTGTATTAGTACTCGTCCTAGTTTCGGCCGAGACAGAGTTAATTTTCTTCCTAGCAGCTGGTGAACTATCGCTTGGGTACACATTCACGCCTTTATCTCGAGGTCACCACCCTCAATCCATACCACCTTGATAGCAACAGCTACACGGAACTGTTTTTCATAGTAACAAGCAGCGAAACTACCAGGGGAATGGCTGTATCTTTGACTGCTAGGGATCCACGGTACCTGAAGTATCCTGAAAAGGGATATTTTTGTAAAGCAGGTATCAAGAAAAGTAATTATAACCCAAGAAAAGTAATTATAACCACACCTCTCTCTGTGTAAAGATAAGCTGAAGGCTCTTAATAAACCACCCAACTACTTACAGCATCTATTTTTAAGAATGCAGCAGAGTCTCAAAATCCAAACAACCAACTGACCTTTAGCTTTTAACACAAGAGATTAAACTAGAGATTCTTTAAAAAAATGTCTTTCCTCTTCAATAGACTGATCAAGCCCTATCAGTCCCTCCAAACCATCCCCACGGCTCTTCCCTGAATCTTCAGTTTTTCAGTATGATTTTATAGCATCTGTATAAAACCGTCTTTACAGGCTAAGTTTCACTAATACCGTATCAATACAGATAAATTCCAGAGTCGGTAATGTTAGGGAAGAACGCGGGACATTAGGAGTAGCACTCTTGCCAGATCATCTCCTACCCATTAATCTATTCTTAACGAAGCAGATGACAATCCTGCGAGACGGCAGCTTCTTCGTGTGACCTACATTCTCCCGTTCTGGATGCCCGCGTTTGTTGCGCTTTCCAACGCTGTCGCACATCACGGACAAACAAGCGACTGCAATAAGGCTCAGCGTGGCAGGGATGCTTGATTTATGCACATCAACGCTAACCGATATGGGGGACTCAGCTGAATATTCGTTTTGGTGACAAATCCGGTCCTGTGGCTTACATCCCCCCAAATAACTGGTTTAATCCCCCCAAACAATAGAAGACCATTGTTATCCGGCCTGACCTCTTATCGGGGAACGGCCGCGTGCTGTGAATTCATTCGCATCCCCACGCTTTGCGGAAACGGGGGGATCCTCGGCTGCTCTGCTGCCTCCCCATCCGCAACGGCCTCGCCAGAGCTTTCCCAGCGGCCCACCCCATGTCCCACCCGCAGCCACCAGCCGGCGCAGAGGCGAACGACCGCGGTCAGAATCACAAGATTCAGAACTCCAAGAGCGAAGGGCACCTTCCCACCTTGAAATTCTTTTTGAAGTGCTCCTGTTGCCCTTCAAAGCGGCAGACAAGTTGTAAGCACGCAAGCTTCCTTTGTGCATCAATTCGTTTCGAGGATGCATATTAAATCTAGGTCAAGACGACAGCCTTCTAGTGCACCAAAATTTCTCTCTCTACTAGCCTCACTTGAAATCTCAACGATCATTCTTCAGAGATTTATATTAAAATCACAAGTTAACACCTACATGTTAATTCTGGAGTGTATCATTACAGAAGTCAATATTGCTACCAGAAACTCTTTAAGAGCACTTAAGGGCAATATTAAAAAATAAATAAATTTTTAAAAAATCAAATAATCAAGGAGACAGAGGTGTTGTGAATTATCTGTTCTCCATACACCAGGTTGCTGCACCTACATAGAACTGTGACCTTCCACCCCTCCACTATTCTTGTCACCTATATTTAAACAATTAATCATCTTCAGAAACAAACCTTGACATCTCTTTCCTTCCACTGTACTCCCCTCTGGCAGAGAAGGCCATTGCCTTGCTATTACGCACTGGATACTTGCAGAAGTAAATCTTCCTATTAGCTGAAACACAAGCAGTAAGATTTTTATTAAAAAAAAAAAAAACAAAACAGGTTATGTCCACACGTTTAGGTCTCAGAAGCCACAAGGCTGTAAGGAAGCGAATGGTACTAACGAGTCAAGAATTCCATGAAGCTGCTTCTCCTCAAGGGGCATTGTTCAGATGTTTAATAAATTGATTACAATGTGAAGTGCTGTTCACCCCCATACCTGGAATTAAAACAGCAAATCCAAATAATCAGAAGGTAAGAAGGGCAGCAGTAGGATTCAGCAGACGGTCGGAGCTGAGGCCCCCTCACACGTACCCGATCGGAAGGCATTTTAAAACGGCACTGCCTCATCCAACAGTGACACGGACGGGGACTGACCGAGAATCTCCCATACGGCTCGAGCTCCAGCTCCCTTACTCCATCTACTGCATACATTTAAATAACGACAGGTCAACAAACAGCTAGTAATGAAGTTTCTTTGCAAAGATTAGTAAAAAATACAACATTCCGGAAAAATAAGGATGACGGCTCCTCCAAGGGAAGAGCTAAGATACGTGAGCTTAAAAACATTAATTAGAGGTGCCTGACCGGAGGTCTGTAGAGAAAGGTATCTTAACCAACTAAAGCTAAACCTACAAGAGCTCAAACAACCTGGTTTCTAGTAACCTTTCCTTGAGAGGCGTCATGTCCTCCTCCATGCTCAAAGGCAGTGACAACGGCACAGGCACTCGCGCCTCAGCAATTCAAGCCACAATTTTGGGTGATTAATAAATGCACCGCTGCCGATGTAAACTGAAGGAGATGGCTGAGGCAGCACAAAAGAACAATGTGGTTTTCTACCTCTGGCAAAGCAACGGGGTAGGGGACTTTGGGCGAGCTCTTGAACTGAGGGACCCGGGCAGGCTGGAGAGGTGGGCAACCTCATGGGGTTCAACAAGGCCAAGGGCAAGGTCCTGCACCGGGGTCGGGGCAACCCCCGGTATCAGCACAGGCTGGGGGACGGAGGGATGGAGAGCAGCCCTGCCGAGAGGGACTGGGGGTGCTGGGGGATGGAAAGCTGGCCACAAGCCGGCAATGTGCGCCGGCGGCCCAGAAAGCCAAGCGTCTCCTGGGCCGCATCCCCCGCAGCGTGGGCAGCGGGGCG